ATCCGTCTTCTCGCTGTCGTCCTTGGTGTCGTTGTTCGCCTCCGTCTTCTCCTTGTCGCCCTCCTTCTCCGCCCCAAACACCTCCATCACCGGCGTGCGCACGACCTCCCCGGGGCCCACGACGCTCTTCGTCGGTGAATGCGGCGCCTTCCACGTCGTCGGCGGGCTCGACGGATTCGGCGGCAGCGCCTTCCCCACGCTCGCGCTCGACGGCGCCCTCGCGTGTCCTTGCTTTGTCGGCGTCGTCGTCGGCGAAACAGGCCCCCTTGTCGGCGTCCCAGTCGGCGTCCCAATGTTGGTGGTGGCAATCGGCGGAACCGCACCCCGCGTCGGCGTCGAAGTCGGCGTCGTCGAAAGAGCACCAGCCCTTGTGCTCGTAGGCGTACCGCCAACCGACCGCGGTTGATCTGCAGCATCCGCACTCCCCCTCCTCCGCCTCTCCCGCCTCTCCGTCACGCTCCCACTCGCACTCGCCGGACTCCCCATCCTCACATCCCCTTCCCCGCCCTCCCCACCCGCGCCATTCGTCTTGGGCGTCGGCGGTATCGGTATCGGCACAGTCGCAGACCCCGTCGCGCTATTAGCAGCAGCAGCAGCAGCCCTCCCCCTCCTCTCCTCATACTCCACCTGGATCGTATGCCTAAACTTGTCCCCGTCCTTCTTCCCCCCACTCCCACTGCCCCCCTCGCCCGCCGCCCCGCCCTTCCCCTTCTTCTCCCCCCTCGCCTCACCATCCCGCTCCAGCTCCCTCGGTCGCCGACTCCCCGGCGCAGGCCCAAACGGATCGTCCTCCTCCCCAACCCCAACCCCCACGCCCCCACTGCCCCCCGTCGGAGAAACATACAAAAACTCGGGCTGCGCCGTCCGGCTCCTCGCCGGCAGCGGCGGGCTCTGCGGCATCGGCGGCACGTTCTGCACCTGCGCCTGCGACTGCGTCCGCCCCATCGGCACATTCGCATTACTATTCGCAGCGCCGGTCCCACGCATCTGCCGCTGGTACGCCAGGCGCTTCTGCTGGTGCTGCTCCATCGCCGCCATCTCCAGCTCGTCCACCGTCCGCCCGAACGCCACCGCAGGCCGCTCCCCGTCGAGCGCCTCCGGGTCCGGCTCCGTGCGCGGAAGGTGGTACGCGGCGAGCCACGGGTGCGCCATCACCGCCTCGAGGCTCGCGCGCTTCCGCGGGTCGGGAACGAGCATAAGCCCCAGCAGGTCGCGCGCTTCTTCGGAGATGTACTGGAAAAGAAAAGAAAAACAACTCCTCAGTAAAATACGAGCACCTCCCAAAAAAAACCAACGCACCTCCGGAAACGATAACGGCGTATTAACGATATACTTGTACAGCAGGTTTATATTGTCCCCGTCCGGGTTCGCGGGGTCGTCGTCGAAGGGGAGGTACCCCGCGAGCATCGCGTAGAGGATGACGCCGCACGACCAGATGTCGACGGCGGAGCCCACATAGAGGCCTGCGAAAAGGGGGGTTAGTGTGGGGAAAACCCACTCGAAGAAAAAAACACGCACCCTCAGATATGACTAGCTCCGGTGCGGCGTAGCACGGGGAGCCGCACGACGTCTGCATGAGGTCGTCCGCGCGGTGCTCGAAGCGGTTGGCGAAGCCTGTGTGGGGGGCGTTAGTATTGTTTTTTTTTCCGGCGGTGGGAAAGGACGGGGAAGATTCTTTTTGTAAAAGAAGACGGATAGCGAAGTTTTTTTTGCGAATCAGCCCCCAACGCGACGGGCGTGCTGGGGAGTCTATCCACGGCCGTACACCCGCTCGCGAGACGAGGCGCCTCGTCGAGAAGCCCCACAACACCCCCGAGACGCGCGTCGCCGGTGTCCCCGAACGACAATTCATCGATCGAAAGAAAGAAAGAACGCACCAAAGTCGGTAATAATAACATTGCGGTGGCGGTCGAGCAGGAGGTTCTCGAGCTTGAGGTCGCGGTGCACGATCTTTTTTTGGTGGATGTACCTGGGCGTTCAGTGCGTTAGTGGTGTTCTTCATTATTGAGGGAAGCGATGGGCAAGGAATGGAAGGACCAAGAAGGGAAAGGTACCGAGGCGACAGAAGGGTGGACGGACGGGACGCGGATGAATCCAAGCCATGAAGCCAAACGAAAGACAGCGAGATACCAAGAATACGCAATAAAAAAACAAAAATCGCCCAGTCACAAACACCCACGTCCCCGTCCCCAGTGCATGAGCGCAGCGCCCCAGTCCCCAAACGGGCACCACAGCTCTCCGGGGGTCGCATCCAGCCCTTTCACCACTGGATTACCAGTGGCCCAGACGGGCAAATGACCACGGCGGTTCGTGGACGACACGGGCGAAGGAAGGATTGCGGATGTGTACGTGCGCGCGTCACCCCGAATGGGCAGGCGCTGGAATGTTAAAACGGGCAGGCGGCCCCCTAACGAACGCCCACGCAACACCCGCGCACACGCAAGCCAAAAAAGTTCGCGTCCCCGAATAAAGAAAGGACGAATTGCATTGCGCGCGCGCTTGAGCAAAGCAAGCGCGGGCTTGTGAAAAGCCGGGCGAAGGAAGAAAGGACGGGAGAAGAAGAAAAAGGAAATAAGTAATGGTAATGGCAGCGGCAATACCGAAGCACAAGAGCCGGCGCGTATCGGGAAGCCCGCCAAGCGAGGCACACCGCACACGCAACGATAACAAAAACGGAACGTGTATATATACACCAGCCACGGATGGAGTTGGCCCGAGCCCCGAGTAGCGGCCCGTCACAGGAGGTACACATGGGCCAGGCATGCGCGGGCGAAAGGCGAGATATGATAAAAACAAACAGACAAGAAAGAAGAAAAACAAAAAGGCAAGAAATGACAAGAAATAAGAAAACAATAATAGACACAAAAAGGCAAGAAACAAAAAGGCAAGAGCACCCACCATACGCCGCTGACGAGCTGGCTGAAGAGTTTGCTCGCATCGCGTTCGCGGAGGTAGCGGTGTGCGAGGATGTGGTCGAATAGCTGTGCGAGGGGTGATTAACGAGAGAGATAGGGAGAAACGGCAGCAACGCACCTCGCCGCCGCTCGCATACTCGATGATGATGCCGATGTACTTGTCGGTCTCGATGACATCGTACAGCCGCACAATGTTCGGGTGTTTCAGCGTCTGTGCCCAGCGTCAAACTCAAGAACATCAGTCAATACTGACAAGGCAACACGCACCCGTAACACCTCGATCTCGCGCTCGACCTTGCTCATGCGGACTGCGCTGTCGACGTTGCCCCTTCTTATGAGCTTGACGGCGACCTCCTCCGCCCACTGGGCGTGCAGACCGAGCTTGACCTTGCCAAACTCGCCCTCGCCGAGGGTCTGCAGCAGGAGGTACGGGCCAAACTTGGGGATGGTGCGACGCGGGTGGGCGGAGGCATACGCGATAGCTGCGGGGTGCGAGTACACGTCGCTGTACGGCGGGTCGTCGCTACCGCCGTTGTTGCCACCACTGGACGTGGGCCCAGCGGACGAGGATGAGGCGACTTGGTGCGACGCCCGGTGTGGGGGCTGCTGGCGTCGGGAAGGCGGGGATGTCGGCCCGGCGGCGACAGAGACGGGACGGGACGGAGACGGGATCGTCAGGCTCGAGCTCATCGTGAGCAGCGGCGGAGAAGAGACAAATGTGTCACAGCAACCGTCCAGTTTCACGTCACGTGGCCCGTCGTCAATGCGATTAATTCAATTTAATTCATTTTTTTCATTTGAAATGCCATGCAATGGAAAAAAACTTTTATCGCCGGTTGGGTCATATTCCTAGGTCCATAATACGCAGGCGGAAAAGCGGAAGAGCGACTGGAGCAATCTAACCGGTAGCTAGTACGACCGGAAGCTGCCGTGGGTCGGTTGTTTTGATTTGGAAAAATGTCGCGAAAGTGAAAATTCAAACTGTTACAATGAGAATTCTAAAGAGGCAATTTTTCGCGGAAGTCCTCCGCCAGAATACTCTATTAGCTTTTATGAGAATACCTCCAAAACTGAGGTACTGAAGGGAAATGAAGCCCACCGGAGAAACTCGTTCCGCATCGGGACTGCCCGACAATATCTGCCCGGCAATATCTTCCCGGCAATATCTTCCCGGCAATATGAGTTATATACGCGCCACTTACAAGTCCGCCGACGGCCACCAGTGGTTTTTCGCTATGGATAACGGTTGATAAGATAAACCACCGTTGATCAGTGTCAATCACCCATCACTCGTCCCAATTAGCACAAGGCAAAAAATCTTCATGGTTTTCGCTCGCAGCCAGTAGTTTTCGCCAGCATCCACCGTATATATTTACTTTTGTTTCGTTTATGTGATATGCAATAGAAACCAGAAATAACGACGGGTTCCCATCGGCAATTACATATCATTTGGCACGCAGAAAAAAACCCTAATCAATGGGGTACGAGAAACCACTGGCTACCTTGTTGCTATCACCAGCAAAACACCTTCCCACTTTGCCTTGAAATGTTCAATTTCAACTCGGCTGAAAAAAAAAAATGAATTCGGAGAACGAAAATTTAACCCGGTCCTGAGTTGAACAGTCCGGGTGGAACATCACTTCAGGCAAATGTTCCACCATTACACGAGGGGTCCATATAACCCTGACTTTCAATGTAATGTTCTGCCGGTTGACAAAAATGAATGAGATGAAAGAAAGAAGCACAAAATGACCCAGCCCCGAATCGAACAGGGAGCTTCCATGCCAACGTCTTCAAATACGAACCATCCAGACATGTAACCATTACACCACTGGACCCTTCTCACCCATTCCAAATACTTAATTTTAAAGGTATTGTCCGACTGGTTGAAAAATGTTGAATTCGGAAAAAAAAAAAAGGATGACCCAGCCCTGAATTGAATAGGGAACTTCCATGTAAACTCATCAACCTATTCATCCAGATCACCATCCACAGACATGTAACCATTACACCACCAGGTCCCTCCTGACTTATCACAGATTCAGTTTGAAATACTGGTTGAAAATTTAATGAAACCAAAAAAAATGACACAGCCCTGAGTTGAACAGGAATCTTCTGCTGAAGTCTGGATTCATGACAGTAACTTCATGCAGATGTGTTACCATTACACCACTGGACCCTTACCATTTAACAAATATTCAATTTATCTGACCGGTTGAAAAATGATGGACTCGGAAAAAAATGGATGACCTAGCCCTGAATTGAACAGGGATCTTCTACTGAAGCATGAATGGTTGGCTTTGCTTCATGTTGATGTGTTACCACTACACCACTAAGTCCTTGCTACTTAATAAACATCCAATTCTAAAGGCATTGTCCGACCGGTTGAAAAATGATGAACTCGGAAAAAAAAAGAATGACCTAGCCCTGAGTTGAACAGGGGATCATGACTGGACAGTACATATTGATATGTTACCACTACACCACTAGGTCCTTCCCATTCCTCCAAATATTCGATCTGAATACAATGTTCCGTTGGTTGAAAAAATGTGACAACAAAAAGCAATGACCCAGCCCTGAATTGAACAGGGGTCCTCTACTGAAACTTGGATCCTACCTGGTTACTTCATGTTGATATGTTACCACTACACCACTAGGTCCTTCTCATTTCTCCAAATATTCATTTTAAACATGGTCTTCTGCGAGTTGAAAAAATGATGACAACAAAAAGAAATGACCCAGCCCTGAGTTGAACAGGAGTCCTCTACTGAAAAGTGGATCATGACTGGGCACTTCATGTTGATGTGTTACCACTACACCACTAGATCCTTGCTACTTAATAAACATCCAATTCTAAGGGCATTGTCCAACCGGTTGACAAATGATGAACTCGGAAAAAAAGTGAATGACCTAGCCCTGAATTGAACAAGGGTCCTCCAGTAAAGTTCGGAGAAAACAAACCAAATTAACACAGATGTACTACCACTACATCACAAGGTCCTTCCCATTCCTCCAAATATTCGATCTGAATACAGTGTTCCGTTGGTTGAAAAAATGATGACAACAAAAAGAATGACCCAGCCCTGAGTTGAACAGGGGTCCTCTACTGAAGCAGAGATCGATGAGCCACTTCATGCAGACGTGTTACCACTACACCACCAGGTCCTTTGCATTTCTCCAAATATTTAATTTTAAAGGCATTATCCAACCGGTTAACAAATGATGAACTCGGAAAAAAGAAATGGATGACCTAGCCCTGAATTGAACAGGGGTCCTCCAGTAAAGTTCGGAGAAAACAAACCAAATTAACACAGATGTGTTATCACTACACCACTAGGTCCTTCCCATTTCTCCAAATATTCAATTTAATATAGTCTTCAGCTAGTTGAAAAAATGATGACAACAAAAAAAAATGACCCAGCCCTGAGTCGAACAGGGACCCCTCTGCTCAAGTCCTATGCTCCACTTCCACTTGATGCGGACATGCTACCACTACACCACTAGGTCTTTCTTTCATCACAAGCTGATCGTTATTGAAGATAAAATAAAATAAAGAGCGAACCCTGAATTATATTTATTATACAGGTAATTTCGCACCACCACTGACATGCGCATCGACTTCATCGTTCGCAAAAGAAGGTATCAATATCAATAGCATATCTCATTGACATTAGAGTCGCATTCAGACTCACATATATACATGTAGAGTACCATCTTATTTTCGGCATCTAATACATGAAACAAATCAGGCCCGCATTGGGTTGGAACTTATGTCGAATGCGCTTCAAGTCCAGAGGCTCAACAATGGCCGCTGGCTCAAAAGAACAAAGAAGAAGAGCGGCCAGCGACTTTAAAAATCGCACGACGTGGTTTTTTATCCTTCTGGATCATTCAAGAACAAAGCAAGCACGAAGATAAAATTGGCTGCCAAATACGACGTGCTATATAGGTGAAGGCATCGGATTCGACTCGGATGGAGGAACCAACCACTTTCCTTTTGGAACTGTTGAGTTGCTCTCGGGTCATATCCCAGTTAGATGTGGGTGGTGGCGGATTTCAGTTTCATTCAATGCTACGTGGTGTTTATATACTTCCAGGCCGGGTAGAATCTACGGATATATGTGTATATGTACCGAGTCCTCTAGCGAAATTATGCAGAGTGCAAACATGACCCCAGACGGCAATGCAGTTACAGATGCAGGCTAAGTTGAAACAGATTCATTAAAGTGGCATAAAGAATCCACGCGTGTGACAAACGGACAGTAAGAACGGCTTTAAAACGATGTGTTTGATCTTACTGTGCGCGGAAAGCAAGCGGCACGAAGAACGACGAGCTATGGCGACTAAAAAAATGGGGAAATAATCCTAGAAAGATTTCCTCGAATGACTGCCGTTAGAGGCAGGAGAGGGCGAAATTGAAGGCCGTCTAAAGACCCTTTGGCCGCGCGTTTGCGGAACGAGATTCAGCGAGCAATGGGTCAGTAAAGTGGAATACTACCGTAGGGGCTGGTTTCTCTGAAGCCACTGAACAAATATATTGGAGCAAGGATAATTCCTAAAATTGCCTCCAGTCGCCGCACGGTGTTAGAAATAGAGCATCTGCAGTTGAATAGATTCAGCGAATGGTGGGGCATTTTTCAAGTGGGGTGGGGAGGCGGAAGGTTCTAAGAAAGTAGAAGAGTGGGCAGTAAAAAAACCACATCCACCTGAACATCCAATTTCCATCACCAGAACTGGACTGCAATTCCATACGGATACATTGAATAAATACACCAGCCCTCAATGGCGTCGTTGCGAAAAATGCTGCGCGTCGTGGATGGTTATCTTTTTGCAGCGGGGCAGCGAGAAAATTCAGCTGGCCCCGTGAAGTGAACAGCGCCATCTGATGCTCAAGTTCATAATCCCCCATTTTAATAACGGGAGCCCATATGTTAATATTAATGCAAGGGTTTAGGTTGGTAGAATTTGGTTTTGTTGGACTTTCGCTGGCAGCTTCGATGGTACCGGTGTTTGAAATTAGTGGCCGCCCTGTATCATCTAATTTCAGAATTCATAATATGTGTGTTTACAGAAGTGATGTGATTCCAAACTTGAACTGAGTTAACTAAATATTTTAGGAGGGTTGCATTGAGAAATTGCAGCTGCTAAAATCTGAATAGGCGAGTTAAACCCAGTTTAACCACGCAGAGTCTATATTAAATTCATCGACTATCTTTGAACTTTTTTTACAGAGTCTGACTACGTGAGACTACGCAGAGTCCGCAACGGAGACGCGTACGCGTTGTTTGGTAATCGTTCGCCGTGTTTACGTGTGTTATAGGAGCCCCTTTCTTCGTGCACCATGACGGATACATCGAACACTCTAGAGTCTCTTGTGCTATCTCTCTCATGCACTAGTAAACTACAGCCAGTTGACATCGATCTGCCCACCGAACTAGTTGTCGAAATCTTCGAAATCGCCGCAGCTTCCTCAACCCAAACTGCCGCCACGCTTTGCCGAGTAGCTCAGTGGGTTCGTGATCTCGCGGTACCCCACCTGCACACCGTTTGTGAAGTGGGACTCACACTCGATAAACTGGCACTGCCAGAGTTCTCCGCAAAAATGGCCGCCGGTGAATTCCTACAGGCCGACCGAATCATGAAGAAGCGAGAGCTTGGTAAATTCGTACACGCGTTGTGGAACCATTGGAATGGTGAGATACTAGTTGAATCTGTGCTCCACTGATTCCTCATCAATTCTTCATTCACGTAAGGCCACCAGCTAATTGATTTCATGAAAGTCTGTCCCAACGTCCACCACATCGCACTCAGCGAACTGCCCCTCCTCGTCTCCGCTGTCCATCCCCACGCCACAATCCACCTAACTCGCGAATTCCTCGCTACCACACACAACATCCACATCACCCTCTTCGCCGATTCTGGATCGGTCGGTATACATGTAATACCTTTTTTGCACCTCACAACACCCGGTACTGCCGAACTCCTTGGCCGCATATCGCATCTTTGCATGTTGGACATTCGCACAGTTTCCATGCCTTGTCGACTTTTTCGAGGCTTACGCACTTCGCACTCCCGTACCTCACGGAGCTGTCGTTCATTAGTATGTTAGTAGCGGCGGCGACTGGGGTGGAGACGCTAAATTGTATTGTGGTCATTGTGGATCCTAGCGTCCACCCAGCCAGAGTCGTGCGGTCTGCGACCAATCAGCTGCTGGATCTGCATATATTTTCCCCGAAGCTCCTATTGTTTCAGGCGGAGATTACCACCACGAATAAAAATGCGGACTTGGAGACGAATAGGGAGAAGCTGCGAGAGATGTGGGAGTTGGAGGTGGAGGCGAGAGTTTCTGGGACAAAACGAGGAAGTATACACACACCTTGGTAGCGTCTGGACGCAATGCAACCCCGAACAGATATCTTGCTTCCCGCCGTACGTCGCATTTCTTAAGTAGAATGAAATAACTCAGACATGACTCGAACAGTTCATATTACACTCGTTATTTTTTCTCACATACTTTGAACATATTCGGTTTCGAGCTGAACCTGCGTGTGAACTCGATTTTCCTGGCGGAGTGGCATGCGGTTCAATGAATGAAATTATCTGCCACCAGCTTCCAAGTAGTCTCCCCTAGACAGGCGCTTCGGAGCTCGTACTACCTCGCACGTTGTAGGCAAGGTGGGTAGAATTCTCGTTTTAGCTTCGATGGTGTTTGAAAATTAGTATCATCTGCACCGAGGGTCCGATTGGGAATTTCAGAAAATTCAATTCCACAAGCCCAACATATATATAGTGGGTGCTCGGTAGAGCTGTGGAATTTCTCGCGTGGGGCAACTCGCTGAATCAACTTCAATCCCATAACTTGTTAAACTGTTTGCACCAAAATCTAATTGCCGGTAGTTTGCCGTAGTGGTGCTGTGTCACGGGTCACGGGGGTATCTGTCGAACCGCCCCAGCTGTTCGTCACACCAAAACGCGTCGAAGAGGTGCAAAAAGCTTGATTTTAACGAAAATTCCGGTTCGTTTGTCGAAATTTTCGGTCTGATCACGCAAAATTTAGCGCGTGTCGAATTGTCGAATTGGAAAATTTGCGTCAGTCACACCCCCTGTCGAATTGATTGAAATAATACAGTATTCACACCGCCAAATGCAAAATTTCAGGTGACCTGAAAATGTAACTTAAATTATTGGTTTCAGAAGCCAATTTAGGGAACCATTATTTTGTACCTTAAGAAATTGTTTTCAGGATACCCTAATTTGTAGCTGAATATATGACCTTAAGCTACAACTTCAGGAAGCCTGAAGCTTTAAGTTTCAGGTACAATTTTTGCAAGGCTGAAATAGCGCCTTAAATTATGAATTTCTGTTGCAATTTCATCAGAGCTGAAATAATAAAATTAAGGGTGCCTGAATTCAAAGCTGATACTACTAGTTTCAGCAGTGGCATAATGGCGACTTAAAGTAATCGATTAGGGTGCACCGAAATCAGCACTGAAAACAATAAATTCAGTCGGCGGTTCGGCCCGCCCGAAACAATAAGATTAAGGCGTCGTTTCGGCTGTTCCCGAAATGTCACCTTAAACCATTAGTTTCAGCGCAACCGAAATTCTTCTACAGATGAGCGGCAGATCATCTGCCGCTCATCTGCATATCATCCATAGTAGGGCTCATCGGTGCCGCACACAACAGAAAATCAATTGATATTCACAAAATACAGCTTCAAAATTGCCATAGAACATGCTGAGATCATTCTTTTATGAGTGGTACCGATGACCGGCAGGTGAAGACCAGTGAAAATGTGAGGATGTGGATCATGTGCAGATGAGCGGCAGATCATCTACTGCTCATCTGTAGAAGAATTTCAGGGACACTGAAACTAATAGTTTCAGGTGCAGATTCGGTGCCGGCCGAAAGCGTGCCCGAATCTTATTGTTTCGGGCAGACCGAAGTGCCGCCTGAATTTATTGTTTTCAGTGCTGTTTTCGGTGCGTCTGGATCTATTAGTTTAGGCTACCATTATGCTACTGCTGAAACTGGTAGTTTCAGCCTTGTTTTCAGGCACCCTTAATTTTTTTATTTCAGTTTTAACAAAACTGCAACTGAAATTTATAATTTAAGGCAGCATTTCAGCCTTGCAGAAATTGGGTCTGAAATTTAAAGCTTCAGGGTTTCTGAAGTTGTAACTGAATGTACTATATTCAGTTGCAACTTCAGGAGTCTTGAAAATAGTAATTTAAGGTGCAACTTCAGGCATACTGAATTTGGTTTCTGAAATTGATAATTTAAGTTACATTTTCAGCCCACCTGAAAACTTGCATTTGGTGGTGTGATTTCGTTCATTTACTATATCACGCGTCACACGATCCTTTCTGTACGAAGTGGTCACGGTCTTTGGCGGCAAAAAATGGGATGCCGAAGCCTGCCGGAGCTAGGCGAGGCGTAGCCGACGGATCAAAATTCCCAAATTTGGATGCCGTACGAAAGGTTCGGTTAGTTAACGGGTGTCACAC